ACACTGACTGGCTAATTATTCAACAACTACAAGACACTTCTCCATCTGATACACTGACTGGCTAATTATTCAACAACTACAAGACACTTCTCCATCTGGTACATTTACTAACTAATTATTCAACAACTACAAGACACTTCTCCATCTGGTACATTTACTGGCTAGTTATTCAACAACTACAAGACACTTCTCCATCTGATACACTGACTGGCTAATTATTCAACAACTATGAGATCCACTTCTCCATCTGGTATGTTAACTGGCCACTTATTCAACAACTATAAGACATATTTCTACAACTGATATATCAACTGGCTAGTTATTCAACAACTAAAAGGCATATTTCTCCAACTGCTATATCAACTGGCTAGTTATTCAACAACTAAAAGGCATATTTCTCCAACTGCTATATCAACTGGCTAGTTATTCAACAACTACAAGACACTTCTTCATCTGATACATTAACTGACTAATTATTCAACAACTACAAGACACTTCTCCATCTGGTACATATACCAGTTAGTTATTCAACAACTACAAGACACCTCTCCATCTGATACACTGACTGGCTAATTATTCAACAACTACAAGACACTTCTCCATCTGGTACATTTACTAACTAGTTATTCAACAACTACAAGACACTTCTCCATCTGATACACTGACTGGCTAATTATTCAACAACTATGAGATCCACTTCTCCAGCTGATACATTTACCAACTAGTTATTCAACAACTACAAGACACTTCTCCATCTGGTACATTTACTGGCTAGTTATTCAACAACTACAAGACACTTCTCCATCTGATACATTAACCAACTACTATTCAACAACTACAAGACACCTCTCCATCTGGTACATTTACTGGCTAGTTATTCAACAAGCACAAGACACTTCTCATTCTGATACACTGACTGCCTAATTAGTCAACAACTATAAGATACACTTCTCCATCTGGTATGTTAACTGACCAGTTATTCAAAAACTATAAGATTTCTTGGATAGATGGAATAATCAGAAACACCAATTTCAATTAATTATTTTTGACATTAGTTGATAAACAAAATTTTGATTCATAGATTATTTTTTAAGTGACACTAATCGATGCATATAGGTGATCAATTATAATGATTGAGTTAATCACCCAACTTTACATGTAGACAATTATACATAATTTTTTACTTTTACTGGTACAGTTTACAAATCTATTACTGAATTACCAGTTTAAAATATGTAATTAAAGACATAGTATACTAAAGAATCTGTCTCATGACTTGAAGATGGTTTGAACATATGTTATAAACAGATTAAAAACAATCATTATAGAGAAATTTAGAGCACTGTCCTAAACAAATTGTTAAAAGTAATACATTGATTTTCTTCATTTTAGTTTCTACTAAGCTTGAGTTTATACTGTCTAAAACATAACCAGATTTTAAGTTTTTGAATTTTCGACATAATTCTTATTAGAATATGGAGATATTTGAGCTTTGCTTCATAGGTGAACAGTATTTAAGTTTCTACTGATAAATACATTTTAAAATACAAAATTTATTTTAAAAAAATCTTTAATTTCATAATTGTTTACACAAAAACACATCTCACTATAGAAATATGAATACATCCAAATAAACTCTGTTCATGAGCAGCATTTTCCTGTAAAGATGTAGGTAAATGAATAAACCAAACAAAAGTGTCATAGTTATTTGACATTTTCATTTTTGCTCACTGGAGTAGCAAATAAATCATGGCATTCTAACAGTAAACTTTACAGGTCCCGATGAAGCTGAAGGAGTAGATATCATTTGTGGGGGTGGGCTTGCTGTCTGGTTGATCTGCTTACCAACTCCTTGGCTTCTAAGGAAGGATGGCTTAATCCCCCCAGACAAATAAGACTGGGGTCTGAAAAACAAGATATGCTTATTCGTACTCAATATGTTATTTTCATAAAACAAGTTACAAATAGGTATAACTAGAAATGAATATGATGTACAAGAAGTTTAAGGACAAGCTTAAAAGATAACTGATACTGGATGTGATATTTTACCAGCACAACTTATAGTTAATGATCACTCATTTATATATCTCTCTCTTTACATGGGGTTGGTCAAATTGACTGACCATGTGACCACTTTTTACTCGCTTAAAGTATTTATAGTTTGCTACGACTCACTTTTAATATAGTATGTGTATCTTCAGAAAATTGGGCATTTTTACACAAAAAAATCAGTCTTTTAATGAAGTAATTTTTTTAAAGTTTTGTCCATGAATATATCGAGTCTTTTTTTTTTTAAACAGTTTGAGTGCAAAGTGATTTTCATGTTAAAATTAAAAATACTTTTATTCATCTCAAATTTCATTTGCATAATCTCTAAAATCTCCTAAATACGTTTCAAACGTTTGTTTTTTGTAAAACTTTATATTTTACATTGTTTTTTCTCTACCCTAACTCTAAAAGGTTGGTCAAATTGACTGACCTCGTAACCACCAAAAAGAAAAAATCGAAATAAATTTAAATTGCCCTTTTTTTCTTTCTAGAATGACTTTATATTGTAATATGAAACTACATTAATTTATTCTAAGTAGCTTTAAACTCGTAACAGTATACATCTATTTATACTTCATTTTTATTGCCTGTTGAACCTTGTCATTATATGTTATAAATCACTTGGGAAATGTGGATCTCACATTATGCTATTGAATTACATTACCTACGAGCTACTTCAAGCTGCTCGAGTGCATGGCTCATGAAACGTTTTTATTATATTATTATTTTTTTCCCTAATCTAACTTTAGCTAACTTAAAGAGATTCATATTTTTTACATTTTAGATACTTTTATAATAATAAATAAATACACATGACCTGGACCTTCTTTTTCATTTGCTGTTGACTGTCGATGACAATTAACACTACTTTTTTTATACTAATGGTAGTAGTGCACTAAATAATTTTTATTTAATTAAATAATGCACCAAAAAACATAGAATAATAACATGCAAAAAACAGACAATGTTCCATAACTATAACAAATTTTCTGGCTTTCTAAATATGTGGCAAGAGCCGTTACAAAGACATCCATGCTGGTCAATATGTTTCCCGTGGGAATGAAGTTTGTACTAAAAGAGAAACTGACAATTCTCTGTTCAGAAAACAACATAATATTTCATTTGATAGATGAAAACCTTGGCTTTCTATAGGTTATAAATAATATAGAATTAAACATAAGAGAAAACTATTAACAAATCCTGAAAGAGAGGTGTAGCATTAGGGGGTCTAATTTTCTATTTGATGGCTCTGTAACCAAACAAAATTGAAGGCTATAAAAATTATGATTTATATGAGCAATGAAGATTTTGTAGTGAGTAATTTACATTAAATTTCGTACTTATTGGAAAGGTGGTGAATAAATTAGAGAAGAGGGAATGCCTAGAGAAAATATGTAACATTTCTCACACTAGGGGAAATTCAGGATTTTTTAAAAATATTGCCTTATAAAATTAAGAACTTAAAACTTATATGCTATTAAAATATGGATTATTAGCTACAAGTTTATGCCATAGTAATTGGTATAACATAAACAAAAAGTCGTTTAATAAAATTTTGAGTGTAAGTCACTAAATATCCTGTGACATGTGCAGTAAAGGATGGCCATGCAGATAAGGATATAAATACAAATCATAATTATTTGTCTGGTGTCACATCATCATTAATTGTTGTGAGAAACTGGCTGAATTAATTTTGAAAAATTTGGAAGAAGAACTCATGGATATGAATTCAGACAAGTGGATTTAATTTTTAGATGTGGAGCCAATACCTCCCTCATCACAGGTATTTCATACAAATGGCTCATGTGCTATAGCCATTTTAGTTTTACTCCTTGCTAATGCCTTAATAACAAGCTTAATAAATTCTAATTGTATCATCTGAAGATGCTACAATATTTAAAAAGGTTTCAAAAATGTGATCATTATTTAAATTCTTTGGATAAAGTTATTTTTTAACTTATCTAGATATATACTAGGGGGAAATGTGTTTTATCTAGGGGTGTGAGATATTCTATAGTACCATGAAGAATTTGATATTATGATTATCTGACTTTTTTTTATTAACTATTATCAATAAAACTCAAAATTTATGTTTACCCACCTTGTAACAAAACCTTAAATAATATTAGACAGATCTCAGTAGCCATGCTCACTTGGCATTACATTCCTATAATTTTGGAGGCAAAGACATTTTAATATCAGCAAAGGAGAGAAGATAGCAATAGACACACTTAAATCAAACAGTAATCTTGTTATTACTAAACCAGACAAAGGAAAAAGGTGTGGTTATCTTGTATAAACAAAACTACACTGACAAAGTAACACAGCTAATAAATAACACTACTACATATATAAATCACTGAAACTTCCCACTACTTCAAGAGAATACAAAATGATTGAATTCTTCCTAAATTCGAAGAAAACTAATGCCTTAGATGTTAATACTTACAATAATATTATACAAGTCACTTCCCACACAGAAACTCTTTATAGGCTACCTAGGATTTCAATTATTAACTGTCAAAATATTTTTGTAATGAACTTAGATTTAATAATTACACATTAACAAAAATGTTTGATTTTTATAATAATGATAGAAACTTGAGGACTGATGATGTATATTTATCCAGTCTAGATCATCCAGGATGGCAAATAGGCAGCATGAAATGAACTTTTTTTAATGGCACACATAGGGATAATGAAGGCAAGTTTTTGAAAAAAAAAGAAAACAGATATAAGAATCTATGTTTTCAGTTTGAATACTTACTAATTGTAAAAAGGTATTTTGAACAATACATAAAATGCTCACAGAAAAGGTATTGAACAGAAGGTGTACATAACTTGCCAATTAAAAAAAAATGTATGCAATCAAATTCTTTATTAAAGTATGTGAACTCTTCAAACAATATAACTGGAGCCAGTTTTGAAATTGCAAATGGAATAGCAAAGCAAGGTAAGCCATTTAGTGATCATGAATATATATCACTTTTTATTATGGCATACTATTTAAATCCTATCTGTCATCCTGGTCTAAATGTTGATCTTCTGTTTACTTATAGATGAGACTATTGGCCTTTGTGTGTTTAGGCCTTTGTTTTCAAAGACAATGAGAGTGTTAATGGACTTAGAAGCTTTTTATTCAACTGATGAAGATTGCCATGAAAAACTGTTTTTCAGATCAATGGCAAGTTTTATGAACAGATCGATGGAGTCAGTATGGGGTCTAGGTTAACATTATAAATGGTTAATGTTTTCATGAGAATGGTGGCTGATGGATTGTCTTACTGAGTTCAAATCTCTTATTCATAATTGCTATGTTGATTACTCATTTGTAATTCTAAAAAATGAAGATCAATTAGTGAAATCTGTAGAATTCACAAATTGTAGCCATAATAAGTTCACTTGTGTATGCCAACAATGTTTTGCTCTTCCTTTTCTTGACACAGGTGTTCAACACATAAGGATATTTTAATGTCAGTTGTTATCAGAAACCCACCCACACCAAACTATACAACTACTTTGACAGTTTGTTTGTTAAAAAAAACTTTGTGAAATATCTTACATCTTGTGCATACAGAATCACTGTCCTATAAGCCATTACAGCCAGGGTTACTCAAATTAAAATCCATTTTAAAACTTAATGCCTTTCTGAGCAACTTTATAGATTCTATTATCAATATAACCATCTTTATCCAGGTCATTGAACTATGACTTACAAAACTATGAGTAATGATTTCATGATGTACAGGCTTACACATGCTAATATTGAAGAAGAAATTAAGTGTCATAATCAACAGAGTTTAAGCAAAAGTTACTTCAATGTGTGTTTAGACCTCTACTGAGAATTATAGATTTTTTCAAGTTTAAAGATCAAATCCATTTCTCCCAACAGTTTTGTGTCATTTATGAATTCTGTTGCCTAACGTGTGAGGGTGCCTACATCAGCTCGACTATCAGATCATTTGAAAAAACACTAATCCTAGGTTTAAGGACAATTCAAGCATTTTTTTGCATAGTAAATGTGATGTGGTCCCATCCCCCAATATATTCAAAATAATTGGTAAAGCTAAAAACAAGGCTATGCTATGGGTGAAGGAGATGTTTCCAATTCTTAAAACAAAACCAAGATTAAACAATCAACAAACCACTATTAAACTTTTACTCATAATCTAAGTATTTGGATCAAATATTTTGTTCTTTTATAATTTAATTGTGGAATAAGAAAACTGCACTGAAGCATCTTGTAGTGTAAATCTTCCATCACCACATTTGTACTTGTAAGACAGCTGAACTGCATAAAAATGTTATGGTTTCTAACCCATGGAGTCACAGACTATGGGGATGGCTAGAGGCATGCAAAGTTAACATAGATCATAAACAATTCTCTGTAATAGTGTCATTATGTATTTTATATAACAGAAATGAAACAATGAAATACTAAAAGGTTTGAACTGTCTCAAGTCAGTTGACTGTTCTCTTTTCAAGACTGTATCAAAAACTCTTTAGGATCATAATCTGTACAGCATGAGGACTTCATTTGTACCATTTTGAAATTTTACACTTTTTCAGAAGAACCTGGATGAAATGTAGCATGAGAATTTTTCTGAACTCATAAGTCTTTAATGTCATTTCAGAATTTTTTTGACTCTATTTAATAAGCAGATTTTATCCACATGTTTATAGTTATAAAATAAAGATTTTTTAAAACAACATAAAATTTGGATATAGAAGACTGTTTAGATATGAAAGCACATGTTTTGTTCTATGTTATGTGATTCTATGATTGTTTTGTTCTGTGATAATTTGTTGGGTGTAATTATTTACATAGTTCTCACTTTTAACTGTCATAACATTAGACACTAGGTACAACATCAATTCACAATTACCTAACTAAAGCATGTCTTATCTTTAAAAAGTTGAAAAAATTAAATATCTTAATAGCTCAAAAATAGGTGCTTCACAGTTTCAGAGGTGACTTTATTATTTTAATTGTTGTGATGAATTGAATAGTTATCATATAATTATTGATTAAAGTTTCACTTCTGTTTTAGAATTCATAAAGCCAAAAATTTATGAGAAGTTTTCTTTGTGGATTTATGCCAGAAGTAATTTTATGGAGAGAAAGTAAATTATTTACAAAGAATCAAATTTCCAAAACAAACAAACTGTATTATTTGTTTAGTTGAATTTGAATGGATAAATCTAGACTACGACATTTCACTACTAATGTAAACACCGAGAAAATGTTTTAACTTTCAACTATATTATATAGTAAAGTGAAACAGTGGCCATTCAACTACTTAAAAAATAAATTGAAACTGTTATGGTTCTTGTGTCAGAAGAAAGCTATCTACAACTATTGCGAGAGGCACAATTATTTTCATGAGAAAAACTACATATTGTTGAAAATATCTGAAGTTGAGTTGAACACTAGATGACAATCCTAGGGGTTACACTAACTGGCTTTGACCCCTCATGTGGAGACCAGCTACCTGCCTCACAGGAGTGGAAGAGAGCATCTTTACTGGTGTTATACCACCAGTGGACATCTGGATGTATGTTTTCCTACTGATATCCCATCTTTTGTTTTGCTAGCTACAGCATACATTACTTTATTTTCCAGCAAATCCTATTTCTTCTGAAAGTCAGTAAAGATCTTCCATGATTGCCACTTTCATACTACTGTTGCAGAGAAGGTCAATATCCTTCCATTAGAGTTGTGCTGAATGTAATAAAGGAGGTTCTCTGAAAGATTGCCGGTTTCCTCATTTCACTGCATGTCATGGCACACAAATTCAGGTGATGGTCTTAGTATGCAGTTTCTTTACTTTCTGCCATCCATCTGGAAACCATGAAATTTAAGTAGTACTGCCTGTCACGTCTAAAAGCTTTCAAAGTACACTTTGTTAGAAAACTGGCCTTACCTTGAAGGTTTTACCACCTCTGTTTTGCTTTCAGGGAGAAGACTGCACTGCATAGGGTTACCTAACATAACAATATGTAAAGATACATGTACAATCTGACTAGATACTAACAAATGTTAATATTATAACATACTGTATCAAATTAAACTAAAAACGTGAAAGACCATGTATAAGATACTAACAAATATTAACTTCAACTACAAAGTCATGTACAACATGAAAGACCATGTGTAAAATACTAACAAATATTAAGTTTCAACTACCAAGTCATGTACAACATGAAAGACCATGTGTAAGATACTAACAAATATTAAGTTCAACTACCAAGTCATGTACAACATGAAAGACCATGTGTAAGATACTAACAAATATTAAGTTCAACTACCAAGTCATGTACAACATGAAAGACCATGTGTAAAATACTAACAAATATTAAGTTCAACTACCAAGTCATGTACAACATGAAAGACCATGTGTAAGATACTAACAAATATTAAGTTCAACTACCAAGTCACATAAAACATGAAAGACCATGTGTAAAATACTAACAAATATTAAGTTCAACTACCAAATCACATAAAACATGAAAGACTATGACCAGATACTAGCAAATGTTAATAGCTACATCAAGTATATATATATATGAACAAGTCATGTGTAATGAAAGACCATGTACCACATAACAACAAAACTCTTACTATGCCAAAATACCTAGCAATAACATTACGCAATATCATCACATCCAGCCGAGTTTCTGTGTTGTGCAATTCAAAGTTAATCAATTTATGCAATGATTGTTGGCTAATAGAACAAATTTATGTTTATTGGAGGTTTTCTTTAAGTTATTTTATTTTATTTCTTTAATATTATTTATGTGAAACATGGAACCCTCGAAACTTTTTTTGTAATGAAGCACTTGCTATTATTAAATTGTGTAAATATCTAAGTACTAGAAAAGTAATGGTTCAAAATTTACCATCAAGAGGACAGTTGTGGTACACCTGACAGGCTCGGACAGCATCTTCTTTTCTAGAGTATGTAACTATGGCTGTTCCTTGGTGCAAAATTGCTGCTTTAAGAACAGGTCCTATATCTCCAAACAATTCCTGTAAAAATAAGGTCAAAATACAGTTTAAGAACATGGACTGTAATTTCAGAATTCCTGCAGCATTAAGATCAAAACTGTTGCTTTAAGAATGGGCACTTTATTTTACAAACAGTTCTTGCAATAATGTTAATGTCAGTATTTAAAATATAATTATTTTTCACCAGTTGTCAAAATTAAAGGCTTTTTCTTATAATTCTTGATAGTATAAATATATACTGTGTTGATTTTGGGCTGAGGATTTTTCTTCAGTAAGTGTCTGCAACTTCTTGATGATAAATTCAATGACATACACACACTTCACTTGTTTTCAAAATAATATATATATTTGGAACCAGTTAAACGTATGTACAACAAATTCTTCACACTATAGAGATTATAGGCATATCATAAACACTATTTATATATATATATCTTCTTCTTGTCAAAAGTCCACTTAGGCCTATTCAGTTACTTTAGAATTTCAGTTGACAAGCTGAACCACCTTCTCTATTACTACTGCACTAGTATTCTGTGTGTGATTCACTTACAATTGTGGTGCTAGTTACCATAATTATTTGGTCTTCTTTCTTCTAAATATCCTCTGTTCTATTTGTCAAAGTGCACTCAGGCTGATTCAATTACTTTAGAACCATGTTTTGACAGAATAAATTATTATTCTTATCTCCTTTCCTACTATTAGTTTTACTCTAACATATTAAATGTTAGACCTATGTTAATCGAAAGGCTTATCACTTCTACAATAATTAACTTCATGCAAAAACTTTTCCTTGCCTGTAACTTTACTCTCTTTTGCCATTGTCTGTCTGCTGTTTCTGCTCATCTCATGCTACTTATATGTTTGTCACTTAATCATCTGTCTACCTTCTAGAAATCTCTATATTCTTAACATTATGTATTGCACACGACATTCATAGTCTCAACATCAATGACTTATAAACACAATTTCTACACTCATCTGCTTTTAACTCTTATAAAACTATTATAATAAAAACTAAACAATAATAAAATATTCACTCACAGAAATAAATTAATCAATAATATCTAAATAAAACAGTCTTTTATATCATGGCAGTTAAAATGCAGCTTTTAGAACAGGATCCGTATATCTAAACCATTTCTGCAAAACTGAAGAAACTTTAATGTAGTAACTTATGTAAGGTTTGTATTTCTAACAGCAAGCTTCTTGCATTTGATTCAGCCTTCTCATTTTATTGATAACTGGGCTCTCTTTGATGTACAGTTGTTTTTTCATCACCTGCTGTTCTGATTACACTGAAATTGTTGGAAGTCCCATTTTTTTCATATACTGTCACAGTGCGAGACATGGTTGAACAACTAAGAGTTTTGGTACCATTGTGTTCTTTTGCACGATCTAGAATGAAATGAGTCATTGACCCTACATTGATGTACTTACTTTCCAGATACTGGTATATATAAATTACCTTTGATTTGTTGATCAAATCAGTTTTGTTCTTAAAATTTAAATATTTTTATCCTCATAGTTGGTTTGAATAAAATCATTAGTTTGATTTGTAGGAATGCCTTTATAATTAGATATATTATTTCTTATTTGATTTCCAATCCATACATACCTGTAAGGAGAAATAGTATATAAATCATTTTCTCACGTTTTTCTATAGGCTGTTTCATAGGGGTGTTAGTGTTCATAAAAACTTGCATTGTATTTGTGAATGTGGTGAGGAAACAGTTTTTCATCAAAATCTTTTTTTTTTCCTCTTATGTGTTCAGCATTTTTAAAAAACTCTTGTTCATGCTGGACAACTGAAATGATCTATGCAATAAAACTTTCATAAAGTTTCCTTTGTCTTTTGGTAGAGTAAAACTATTAAAGTTTATTTATAATCCTGAGAATGTAAGTTTATGATAGTTTCCAATACCAAAAAGTTTTTCCCTTGTTCAGTACTATGATTCTTGCTTGAGAAAAGGCTTATACAGAGGAAAGTATGGTCTGTATCCATCCAGGAAGTTACTGGACGATTTTGAGCTGCTAGCACTGATCTTCATCATTATGCAGTCCATTAGAAATTCTTTCCAATACTGAGTTGTCTACAAAATGTCAAACAGGAATTTCTTTCTATTTCAAAGGTAAATTTTTATATATTTTAATACTTGCTGTTCAGATAATAGGTGAATTCAGGAATGTGTTCTTTTTTATGAAAGACAACTAAAGTATTATCTATGTAAGATTTCTAGACAGGTTTCTAACCATTTCTTTTTGTGATAATGCATAAAATATTTGCTATCTGAGTGTTAGACTTGAACCCATGCTGAACCTGTCTTTCTGCTTGTATAATTTCTCCACTGAACAGGAATTGTGATTTTTTTTGGTAGCCATTTCTAATCATTTCTTTAAAATATTTTAATGTAGTCTCTGTTCTTCATTTTCTTTAGTATTAGAATCAATCTGTGGGATATGTTTTCTTTTCTTCATTATACATTAAGTCCAAATAGATGACTATGGTTTCATTTATAAAGATATTAGTGAACAGTGATTCAATATCCAAAGTTGCCATTGCTACATCTTCAAAGTAAAATCTCTTGATTTTATTTGTAAATTCAAAACTATCCTTTAACACAAGTTCATCTGTTGTGAATCTTTGCAGTTGTTTCTTTAAATATTTGATTAAAAACAGTCAATAACCGAGACAATATATCTCATGAGGCAATCTTTTTTTTATGGATTCTGGGTAACCTATACAGGATTGTGAACCATAATAAACGGCTCCACATCAAAGATAGCTTACTTATTAAGAACGTGAGGCCCAGGCTGAATCAAAATGAATGTGCAACAGTTCTGGCAAACATAAGAAAAAGGCCTAAATTTCCAAATAATTTCTACAACATTAAGGTTACAATGCATTTTTAAGAATATGACCTGTATCTCCAAACATTTCCTTCAATATTAATATGAAGAAGCTACCTTAAGAAAATAGTGTATATTCCAAAAACATCCCTGGAATCACACATTATCAGTCCTGGTTGTCAACTTAACAATTAATGTAATCAATAGTTTGTAAGCTATTCATTTATATATATATATAAACACACACACAATGTGACTACACATGTGCCTACTTTTAAGTGACCACAACTTTACACACACACACAGAGCAAAAAACAGTATATAATAAACATAATTACACAAGTACCACATATACATACTTATATATGTTGATAACTCTATATTTATATCACAGCTAAAGAACAGACACTGTATTTCCAAACAATTCCTGCAGCAATAAGGTAAGAAAATGAAGCTTTAAGAGATCCTAGTTAAATAAAATTTCTTATTGAAGCAATCATGTAATATCACAAATTTTATCATTCAAACTTTTGAAGCATTATCCTCTAGTATTGTTACCATGTTATTCCTTGCAGTCATGAAAATTAATGTAAGCTACCTGTTTGTCCTATCACTGTTTACACTTTTTTAAAGCATTATCATCCAGTATTGTTATATTTTAAAGTTAAAAAAATATTAGTTTAAGCTACCTGTTTGTCCTACCATTTTTCATACATTTAAAGCATTATCCTTCAGGACTGTTACCTTTTATCTTTTACAGTCAAGAAAATCTTTGTAAGCTAACTGTTTGTACTAGCATTGTTTACATAATTTACTGATGACTTACCATAACGGACAACCCTATTTTACAGGAAATTCATAAAAATGAAATATTCACATGCAGTTTAAGAATATTCTATATCAAATGGTAATCATGTTTTTATATTTTCAATAAAAAAAAGGCACATTTTTATGTACATGTATTTGATGCTACGTGCAATACTCATATAGCTATATACAGTAAGCTTCCATTGCAAGAGCACCCTTGTTTCTAAGTTTGGGCATTATACAAATCATAAGATCAAATTTCCCCACCTGAGTGAGATTTAGTGTGTGTGATCATTACTCCAACATTATCAAATGGTTTCTGTTAATAACAGAAAAAAGAAATTTGACTGACCTCGTAACCACATACAAAAAATCAAAATAAATATAAATTACCTTCCTTTTCTTTCTAGAATGACTTCAAATGTAGCATGAAACTGCATTCATTTAGCCTAACTAGCTTTAAGCTTGTAAAATTATATACCTATTTATTATTAAGTTTTATTGTCTTTTTGATTGCTCTTTGAACAGTGTCTAACTACTAATCGAGCCATTATAAGTTGTAAATCACTTGGGGAATGTGCAGCTCACATTACACTATTGAATTACATTACCCATGAGCTACTTCGAGCTGCTCGCATGCGTGTCTCATGAAATATTTTTATTATATTATTATTATTTTACCTAATCTAACCTTAACCACCCTAAAGAGATCTCCTTTTTTACATTTTAGTTAACGTTTATAATACTAACTAAAGAATAAACATAAAAAAAAACAATAAAGTACTTACCCCAGTATTCTTTTTTTTTGTTCTCAACTATCGATGACAGTTAACCCTACTTTTTTTAAACTAATGGTAGTAGCGCATTAAATAATTCTTATTTAATTAAATAATGCACCAAAGAACATAGACTAATAACATGCAAAAAGCAGACAATTTTCTCTAACAATCACAACTTTTCTGGCTAATTATGCTAAAAAAGCCATTACAAATGCAGCCAAGGTAGTCATTGTGATTCTCGTGGGAACCAAAGTTGAATTAGAAGTGAAATTTACAATTCTGTGTTCAGAAAATGTTATACAGTAAGTCATTTGATAGATGAAAACCTTCATTTTCTATTGGTTATAGGTAATATATAGTTAAGCGTAAGAGTAAAGTATTATCCAATCCTGAAAGAGAGAATGTGACACGTGGGTGTGGCAGGAGGCGTCTGATTTTCTACTTGATAGCTCTGTAACCAAACAAAATTGAAGGCTATAAAAATTATGGTTTGTCTGAACAATGATGATTTTATAGTCAGTAATTTATGTTGAATTTTGGAGTTGCCAGGGTGTGGGTGGGTGGATAAAATAGAGATGACAAGATACCTAGAGAAAATGTGTCACGTGTGTCACACTAGGGGAAATTAAGGATTTTTTTAAATATTGCCTTATAAAATTAAGAACTTAAAACTTGTATACTATTAAAATATGGTATAACATAAACAAAAATTAGTCTAATAAAATTTTGAATGTAAGACACTAAAACTTTGTGTCATGCACAGTAAAGGATACCTGGGACAAGATGGTAAAGTCAGTTTTTGTTTTTAACTGGATTAGTGAACTTGTAGGATATTGATAGCTCCTCATGAAGCTGTAATTGTGAAATACTGAGATAATAAAGTTAAATTCAGGAGATATAGATCGTGATATTATTTATGTTTATAGAAATGTCTCATAATAAACTCCAGTTTGCATTAAACAAAGTTAAGAATAATTATTTTCAACAATAATAGTTAGATGCAAAGTATTGCAATTCTAGTAAACATCTTATTTACGATAGTGCTACTTAGATAATTATTTGACGCCGACCTTCATGTCATCTTCTGTGACTAATGGAAGGTTAGATACTACAATTGTATGACCTTCTTCTGTGGGTAGAGTAGCTGGCTCTATTCTGTCTTTGACGTTCTTTCTTCCTGCTAGTGCTGAATAAGTGTAGGAAGTACTCATGCTCTAATAAAAAATAAGAAAAATACACCGTAATTAAACACTTTTGTAAATTACTTCTGAGTACAATAATCAATAGTAGTGTACAGCTGATTTGGTAGTTCTTCTGAATGATGAGTAAAGTTGATTAAAGTAAAAATAAATAAACAGTTTATGTTAAAATAAATAAAGAATAATTATGTCTTACTAATCATTACTCTAATTCTGATTTGTAAATGAACCAAACAAAATTGATAGAAATTACAACTTAATCTAGTTCACACAATGTCAGCAATTGTTCACGTAATTTGATGATATAAATAGCATCTCACCCATTACTAATCCTGTTGTATTCCATTTAACCTGACGAGCCCTGTTATCTGGCAAAAGGCCTCATCAGCACTGGATATAGCATATACAATGTGGTTGACACATTGTTATAAACTTTTTTTTTACATTCAGTCATAAGTTCTTAGAATTATTACACATTTATTTTATCATTACTGTAAATCTTCTAAAATTATCAGCTTGTAACACTTTGGTGACATGATTTTGCATATTTTACACCTAAACTTGATTTAAATAAGGAGTCTTGAATATCCACAATTAATACCTCTCTTACAATATCAAATTATAAAGAATTGTGAGAATATTATATGATAACAAAGTGGTATTATGTTTGTCAATAAAATCTGCTTTTCAAGATAAGAAATGGTAAGTTTCACTACTAGTTACCATACATGAAATATGTGTTGAGAAAAACAACAATAACCATTATAAACAAACTACACAAGTGAGAGTATTTCCTTAAGGTCTTATTCACGTGATCCTAAAATGTTTAAATTATTTCATTTTCTATTTTTGATAGCTAGGTAGGATATGGAAGCTTCAACTTTTATTTTTCTACAAAAAATCTATGTTAATAAGTCCTATAACCAAAATGCTTTTGAAAATGAACCTTTTTTCATCAGGGTCATATTGTTTTAAATTGACTTTTTGAACCTATATATAACCTTATGAATAAAATTTGAATTATGTTTTTGAACAACCATTTTGTCTTGTATAACTGTAGCAGTGAACATAAAAAGTTGATCATTCTGATCAAGTACTGTTGACAAAATACACATTCTGCTACGGTAATTTAATTTTACAAAATGGTTAACTAGAATACATTTTCAAGCATACATGTATAACCATGCAAAAATTCTAATTTCTGCATTCTTATATTAAGAAAAAAAATCACAGGAGAAACTCTTCAACAACAATTAAGACAAACTATTAAACTGATGTTATTTTTGTAATATACAGCCCTAGTAATAAAAGCTGTGTCAAACTTTTTATTAAGTTATCAGCAATTAATCCTTAGTGTTGTTCTTAATGAAAGTTTACATATACCGAAAGTGTATTTCTGGTAATACTTACCTCCACTCCCACTTTAGCCTTATCCTGACGAAAGTTACTCTTCTTTTCCCGTCTGAGCATTCATATGAATTCTGCCTCACTTGCTACAGTCTTTATATCTCACTATATTGCCCATAGTGATATAAATATTGTGACTCCCTATGCCTACATCAATGTTCCCTCTATACCCAATCCATATATATGTTCTTCCTTATTCCCTTTTTCGAAACTAGCAAGATTATCAGACCAGAACACCAGCTATCATGAGGAAGAAGGGCGGTATAGTGTGAGATGAGTAAGTATTATCAGAAATACATTTTTGGTATAGGAAAATGTAAACTTCTCAAACACTTTAGCTAGAATTCAATATCGACAAGGTAGAGGGGCCACAAAGCGTCTGCATAGAAAAAACAGGTGAGCAAAATATGAGATATAATAAGGAACACTAATGGGGGTTGTCACTAATTCTGAAACACGTATGCTTGTCACTCAGAGAAAGTGAAATCTCAATGAGAGCAGTAAAGTCTGACCAGCTACAGAATCAATATTGTTCATTACTACAAGATTCATCCAGGCCCCAACCACACAGACGAGGTTTCACATCTCATCGTTGGAATTATAGGGCTGTGGATACAAAGTTAAATCCTAGATGAAGTGGCTAGGGCATGGGGGCCACAATATGATATAATTGTATAATAGGAACCTGACCTCAAAGTTACAGAAAGTTGCATCTTGATCCACCAGAATTATGAAGATAAAGAAGGCAACACCAAAGTGGACAAACTGTAATTTCAACCTGAAGAAGCACAATATGCAACAAACTGAACTCGGAATTATGGGCCCAGGCACCCAACCTGATAGTTACGGAATGTTGCAGGTGTGCCAATGGAATTGTGAAGGGAAGGCTAGAACACTCAACTGGTCAAGTCTTCCTCCCCAACCAGAAGAAGAACAGAATGTAACAAATTGAGCTGCCAGGTATATTGATATAAGTCAAACTTAATGAGATGAGACCCGAACAAATCTCTGCTCGTCCAGTGATGGACTAGAGTAAGCTATCTGAACTAAATGATGGATCTAATTTGTCAAAGTGACAGGGGATAAGTCATGTGATATCAAAGGATCCCAATGGACAAATAACCAGTAATGGGAGTCCCAACATGCTTCAGTGCACCCATGTAATATCAGAGAGCCCAAACAGGGCATAAAAAATACTCCAGATCCAAATATTCATATAAATGGAGGGAAGAAGAATAAGAGAAAAAGCCTTAACTCTTTCCCTAGCTGCTGCAGTTTTAGGTAAAAAGAACCTGTTTGGATACTACAGAACATAGTTGGAATGGTACATTATTCTGTGAACACGAAAGGCAAACACATCTAAATGTCGATGCCGCTGGCCAATAACAGAAGAAAGCGTTTTAATAAGGACACCACTCTAGATATCAATTCCTGATGATGTGTCATGAACTACATAAACACCTGGCATGAAGTTGAAGAACACCAACTGCTGGATAAAAACGTCTGACCAAGGCTGATGTAAGAGAGATGGCCAGAGAGAGATGAAGGTTGACACTCCTAAAAATATTGGAGGAGTGGAAACAAGGGCTGATCCAGCCAATATGGTGCCACCAGAAAAACCTGACAGGACATGGACAGAATCAGTGCCAGAACCTTAAAGAGTAGATGATTCAGAAGGAATACATGAAGATGACAACCTGTCCCTGGTTGAGAGCATCTACTCCCAAAACTAGAGGGTGAGGTACTGAGACCAGAAGGATGGGAGCTGAGAATTCTAGTGTGTACCAATGCTTAAACGGGCAAAGTAGAGAAACTTTCATAGGGATAAAGCTAAAGTGTGATTGGAGGTGTGTTTTGGAATAAGAATTTCCTTCACTATAAACGTTTATACTATCTGTGTCTGAGCTTGTTGTAAAGTTTGTGTATACCTATATAGAAACTTCATTTAAAAGACTGATAAAATACAAGAACTTTCACTAGATGAATCTCTTTTCTTCAGATAGTAATCTAAAGATTATTTTTATTTTTAACACATAAAGCATTCTACTTACTGGTACTTCATTTAATGGACTTAAATAGGATGCAGGGACTACATTTTGTGGACTTGAGAACTGTTTTTTTATTACATTTGAGGTACAAGGTATGTTCATCTGCTGTTTATCACCAAGCTGTACTGTGTTGGAAAAAAGAGACTTCTGGAAGGTAGGCTTAACCTTTGGCATTGGGGTTGAGATCTATGTAAAAAATAACACAGGTGAAATTAATTTAAAATAAAACATTAAAGCTTCATTTTTAGAATTTCTTAATTTAACAACAAAAGATTGTATTTTAAAAACTACAACATCCTTATAATGCAAGAACTTGTAATGCACTGGTGGTATCATATCTTAAAGATACAAGTTAAGAAACTGGTAAAAGATAAAACTGTAAAACTGAAACAAGAAACATGTTATAATCATGAACAAATTATTATAACTGATGGTTAACATGAAGGAGTATTTGCCTTCCACAACAGCAATTTTTTTTAAAAGATGATTATTACTAATAATATCACCATTTCTTTTCAGACTTTATATATATAGATATATATTAAAAAGACCACCAGGTTCAAAATACAAATATCTTTAGTTAGTTGGAAACATTTTCACAGCTAATCTCATACATAATATATATATAAATTACTATATATCCATAAAAATAACGTATGAATAAATAATAACTAAATACTTAAGAAATTTCCAAATTATTTATGAAATAACTTCCACATAATAATCTTTTTTTGTTGATTATCACAATACCAAAATGGAACACAGAAAAAGAAAGGTTCTGGTAACATACCATGAGTATTTAGAATACAATTGTAAAAATATTCAGAGCATTTTAATGGACTTTGATTTGGGTTTTAACATGAAACTTATGTTGATTCATTCTATATCTTAAATTTTCAGTTGGGCCAACAAAACATTCACAGCATATAGAAAAAGATCTTTTGATTTTAAACATAATGGTTTTACCTATGTTTCTAATAATTTTGGTATTAATAATATAACCTATATTACAGAGTTGACATCTTAGGTTATTACACTGAGTGACACCTTCTGGTCTATTTTCAATTTCATATTTATAACACAGTAAATGGTTCAAATGTTTTGGCCTTCTACAAGCTATAATAGCATTGGCTGTATTGTTGGCTATAGATATACAAGAATTGATCAAACTTTACACTCTTTGATTTTAACTTTTAATCCTGGGGTATATGTAGTGACAACTGGTAAACTTTCTGTTTTATTAGTAGCCTTTAGTCCATATAATTTGACACAAAATATACAGTTGTCAAATAGCCTTCTGGTTAATTTCTATTTCACAAAAGCATTTCTATTTCATTCAATCTAATATTTCTCATTTCTTTATTGTTAACAATCTGTTCAATTCTATATGCTAATGTATATGGGATTTCCTTTTGACATGTATAAAGTGGTTACTTCAAAAATCTAAGGAAGCATGGAGATTTGTCGGTTTATAAAAAATATCAGTTTCTAAAGAGTCATTTTCAATCACTATATCCAAATATTGTATAAATCAATAATACTTTTCGACAGTGAATTCAATATTTGGATCCTGATTATTTAAAACTGGACTAAAATTAAACCAGTTTAAATCTTCATTCTAAATAATAAAACAATCATCAATGTATCTGAACCAATGTTATGTCACATAAGGGCTAACATTTGACTCCATTCTAAGAAACCGATTACCAAAATAGTATATGTAAGTGCCGTTTTTGTACCCTTAGTGGTTACTGTTTCGCATCGAACTACAAAGACCAATAGCTACTAATAAGACAGAAATTTTACCAGTTGTCACTATATATATATATCCCAGGATTAAAAGTTAAAATCAAAAGTTTGATCAATTCTTGTACATCTATATCTGTAAGTAATGCCAATGTTATTGTAGCTTATAGACAGCCAAAACATTTGAACTGTTTACTATGTTATAAATATGAAACTGAAAATAGACAAGAAGGTATCATTCAGTGTAATAACCTTAGATGTTGACTCTGTAATCTAGGTTATATTATTAATACCAATATTATTATATATTAAATATTATATTATTTAATTAAATTAAAAGTGCCTATCAATATGACATAGCTATTTATTGTTATGTACTGACCACAGCTTGACTAATGGGTTTAGTAACTGTTATCTGAGAGTTGTTAATCAACACAGTTTTTTCATCATTCTGCACTTTCTTATTGGAATACTGAAAAAAAAAAGAGAGGAAAAAAATCAAAAATTGGAAGTTATAATTTTTCTAAATGAAAATGTATTTTCAATAGTTACTTCCCTCTACTGAGAAGATTAGCTTTTGTTGTTTGGTGTTGCCCTCTGTATGCAAACTTTTTCAGACACACTTACCACAAGCCTTGATCTGTTTGAATCAAAAGTTCCAGCACGTCTCTAATGCAAATCATCATGAGAGCACAATCACGTGACTCCCTCTATGCACCACTACTGAACTATCACTTCGAAGTTTGGTAGAAAATGTGAGCACTAAAACACTGTGGGGAGGACAGGTGGGAAGTGTGAGAAAAGGGAAGTACCTATCAGAAATACATTTTCATTTAAGAAAATTATAACTTCCAATAAGGTTCTCTTCCTCTGCTCACCAGATTAGCCAGGAACATCAATATGATCAGGAGGACCAGACATGGTGTAACATGAAGGGAGCACATCCACATGGGAGAGGATAGTATAGCAATGTGATTTTAAATAGAAATTAGAATCACTTAATTCCACAATAGAAAGTGGGCAAGTGAGGATGTGTCCCATGGTGCAGTGGCCAGGATGCAATGGACTGTACTTGGTAAGTCAACTATATCCAAAATCTCACTCGCTGGGTACCGACATCTTCGTGAGGGTTACATGAGGATCATACCATCTTCATCTCAAGTCCCAGAGTCAAGAGGGAACCTAACATTTGACCCCAGGAACTTACAGG